GATGAGTATTTACGAGTGTCAAAGGAGAAAAAAGTCAAAAGCCTATATGACTCAGCTCAACCAGCTGAACTGCCTCAACACATGAAAACTGAATGTGATTTCAGGTAAAATGTACAGCAGGACCATTTCAGATATACCAATAGGCAAATCCTAAATTACTTTAAAAATGTGCTGCTGGTTATACAGTTTTCTCTTTCCACTACTTTAGCTAATTATTTTATTCCCCTCAGCCTATTAAGACATTTAACTTTCTTAACCACAGCATTCACTGCTGGCTGCAATTAATAAAGACAATATTATCAGCATTAGTGCTGCGCTAATCCTAGACATCCAATCTCCCCTCCACACTGTAGGCTTTTCCCTGTCCTAATCTAGCAGTTCGGACTTGCCCCAGTCCTGCCCTGGTGGTGCTCCACCAGCTTTCACCATTAGATTTAAATACATTTCCATCTATATGTTAATGCAACCACAGGTGACAAGCCAATCTACAACTGATACGCGTTTACCCGAGCATGAAATTGGGATGCACAAACAAAAATAAGGATGAGAACAGCATGAGCAGCATCTTGGTGACGTACAGTACATTAAAATTTGACAGCGTGAGCAGGATTGCCCCAGCTGCATGATTTGCAAAGTCCCTTTACCACCTTGTCCTTTGGACAAACTGGACAACAGTGTGTTTTATCAGTTTGGTAAAAGCAGGGGACAGTGTGTGAGTGTGTGTGAGTGTGTTTCCCAATCAGAAGTGATGTTGAAAGAAGACATCAAACGACGGTCGTCTTGAGTTGAGATGACTCTGACGAGCGGTTGGATAATCAAAAGAGCTGCCTGGAGGCGGGTGCAGGGGGGATGGCAGCGATGAGGTTAGAGCGTCCGCACTGAAGCTCTGCCAGGAAGTTTGTGTCTGGGCCAATGAGCTGGGAGAGGAAGCGCTGAGTCAGGAAGCCTGGCCAAGAGAGAGGCCCGTGGTGCTGGCATCTCCTCCTCACACACACGTTACAACGCTTCACACACCACCGCTCTGCTGGAGTCATAACACACTGTTCCCAGGCCAGTGCCGTACACGCATGTGCACAACGCCGGGCCCACACTCTCGCCCGCTGTGCGCGCATTCATCAGTAAACAGAGGGATGTGACGCCAAATACCTGTGGCACAATAAAGTGTGGAGGGTTGTACAAACAGAGATATTGCTATTTGTAAAACGCAAACAACATCATCAAGTCAGCGAAGGGACTAAATCTTTTCCAAATATATGACACGAGGGGTGAAAGATGCACCTTTGAAGTGATCTATTAGAGACAGAAGATCATTCTGATGTGTAGCAGCGAGCAGGTGCAGACGTACCCGAGGGCTATTACACAGGATGAAACTGTGATATCTTCATTATCTCTTTCATAGCATGACACACAGAGGAGAGGCTAACACAAGACTCTAAAGAGCTCCTTATCAGAGGAATCTATCTGGTGTGGCAATACTGTGTGTGTGTGTGTTTGTGTGTGTGTGTGTGTGTGTGGAGGCAGTTGATATGTTTGATGAGAAGGTCAGAGAGGACGGTGAGGAAAAAGAGGTAGAGGAGGAGTATCGGCTCTCTATAGCCGCAACCAATCAATGGACGGCAGAGAAATGGTGAATATGAGCTTAAAGGAGTAGTGCGACATTTTGGGAAATGTAGTAGTATAGTTTATTCGCAATGGAGAGTTAGATCAGCAGGTTGATAGCAGCTCTCATAACTGTAGTTGAAATGTAAAGCTACAGTGCAGCTGCCAGTTAGCACAAAGCCTGGAAACAGTGCCAAAGATCTAGCTTGGTTCTGTCAAACGGGAACAAAATCCACCTGCCAGCACCTCAACTCGCCATTTTATGACGGGTATGTATTTCAGGGAAATTATCCAAAATGTAACCCACATAAAACAGCAAATTGTTGTTTAGTACAGATTAAATCAACCGGATATAAAGTGCTGACGTAGATAGACATGTGTTACCTTTGAATTGAGCCAGACTAGCTGTTTACCTGTTTCCAGTCTTTATGCTAAGCTAAACTAACCAGCTGTACAGTTATAAGAGCGGTACCAAACATCTTATCTCTTGCTCTGTAACAAACTATCCCTTTAAAAAAGGTAAAAAAAACAGAGTAAATATGTTATCAAGTGAAATTATGTGTCGACGCTGTGATGGATAAGGAGTATCTTTTTCAAGCTGATCTGTGCATATTTCCTTGTAACATTCATACAACTCTAACACAGATAAGCAGCTAAAAGATGTATGTCTTTCCTGTATAAAACCAAAACATTAATCTGTATGACTTAACATGAAACAAACAGTTGCAATGACTATCAGATCAAGGATGCCTACTTACTGCTTGGCAAAACTCTGAAAACTAAAAACCCACTCCGATCTGCTTTAAAGCTCCTACTAAGTCTCTCTTTCTGGCCTGAATTCAGCTGAAAGCTATAAGATCACTTAAAAAAAAACCTCTCTCAATATCTTTAAATGCCTGACAATGAAAGGCTAATAGAAATCCTCATATCAAACTGTACAAAAATAAAAAGCTGTTTGAACTCCATTATCAAAGAGGCCAAAGTCGTTTTATGAAAAAGTGCCACAGGGGTTAAATTAGAGAGAAACTGTTTTCTCCAGATGAAAAGACACCCATGCTGGCTGGCACTTCTGAGAGACAAAAAAACAAAAAAGTGGATTTATTCTCAGAGTAAAGACAACCATACTCACCTCAAACAAACTTGTGCCACTTTAACCATCAAGAACAAAAGGAACCTTACATAAGCCCAGAGAGTTTTGACCTTGCTCTCTGCAGCCTTGTCCACTGTTCTTAATCTCAGGGGCATAAATTAGCAGCACCTACAGTATGGTTGAGTTTCCAAGGAGAGCAGGCCTCCTACCGGGGGGCCAAAGATGTCTGCTGGAGTTTGTTGCCAGGGTTCGGGAATGGCTGCACTTGTCACAAGGACTAAAGACAGTTTCCTCGCTCAGCACCCAGAGACAGAGAAGCCTCAAAGTCAAGGGTGGGCAGGAATGTCCTGAATAGGCAGTTACGTAAAACTCACAGCACCCTGTGAGGAAAGAGAAGGAGCTACTCAGGACCTGACAATGCTCACACTGAAATTAAACAGTATCAGACGGCCCAAAGTGTACAGTACAAACATCTAAAGCAAGCTCAGAGCTGAGGCAGATACGCATTTTCACAAATCCGCCGAATTAGGAGACAAACAAAAACAATCTTTTAATTAGAATAAGGGCACGAGTCAATGAGCCTCTGGGCACAGACATGTAAAAGGCCCCCAACCCCTCCTACACAGAAGCAAGACCCACCGACTGAAAGAGACACAAAACGACTACAAATGACGAGACCGATGCAATTGCGTCGTTTTGTTTTTCTTTGTTGTCATTTTGTGTAAATTCATACTCGCTTTGTGTGTCTCTTTGCACTTGTTTTGCATCGATATTTTTACTTATTCTGCATCTCTTAGTCGTTTTGTGCCCTTTTTTTTATTAGTTTTGTGTCTCTTTGTAGTCGTTTTGCATCTATTTGTACTAATTTTGCAGCTGTTTGTGTCTGTTTTTTGAGTTTATTTGTAGTTTTATTGACTTTCCAACAAGAAATGTCAACTGTGTAAAATGTCACTTCATACCGAGGCTCTGGTCCAAGGGCCCTGTGACCCTTTGGGCCACTGGGCCTGTGCCCGGTAGGCCTGCTCAGTAATCCATCCATGAATAAGGGAGTTTAGGTGAGGCTATTGATGAAAACAAAATTAGCGGGGACTAATCCGCTTTTGATGTCAACAAAGTAATTGCAGAAATTATCTGGGGCATGTTTACCAAAACAGTCAAAAAGATACAGTATCTCTGATCACCGGTGCAAAGCATTCTGCAAAGCACACTTTGTTTATCACAGCTCCCTCTCATGCATGCACAAAAATAAAAGCAAATCGAAGGAAAAAAGAGTGAAGAAAAAACATAGCAATACCAAAAAAACCCTCTCCCTCCCTCTTTGCTCCCACCAGAAGCCACCCAGCGAGCACCAGGGCTAACCCTGCTGACCTGACCCAGATATTAACCCAAGCCTCCAGATGTGAACGCGCGCTGGGATTACTCCACCACTGCATCAAGCTCCACATGCTTTCCTAATGAGGCATCCTAAAATGACCCTGGAGACAGAGAGGACTGTCTGCCTCACTATGTGCCCATATTCCCATAACTCTATCAGCCCGTCTGTGCAGCATCATCTTCATATCTGCAGAATACAAACATCATGGGCTGAAAATGCAAAAGTTGAGCATGAGAGATGTTGCTCAGTATGAAGTATATAAGTATCAAACTGGCCTCATGCAGCAGACAAAACACATTATCAAATAAAACAGTTGTACTGCTGAGCATTTCCTGCTTTGACTATCAAACACTGGATTTTAAATTTGCATTTAATTGTACTAGGACACGCTGACATGCTGCTTATCTCACCATTTTTCAGAGTGTCACCTGCAACAAAGTGAAGTTATCAAGACCAGACTGACACCTACTCCTCTATGCGACTGCACTGAGGAGAATATGTAACCTATGCATGAATGTCAAAGCCTTAACAAACTTGTCCTGCACCGGCTGCTGGAGCAAAAGGAGACAGTTTTAGTTTCACTCATCCTGTCTACATTCGCACCAGTCGCGACCTGAGCCCTTTTTGTTGCAGAAGCGCCCCTGATATGAAAGAATTTAACTCCTTCTCTGCATCAATGTAGCTATTGTAGCCATTGCATTCTTTCAGCAGCTTCAATTTCCAACTTGTGCAATGTCGGCAAGTTACAAACTTCACCGCAAAGGATACAAAGCACGAAACACGCGTATGACAGCCAGTGGCCCGAACACGTAACGGGGCAGAAGTGTGGTAAGTTTGATCGGCCTGCTAAGTAGCTCAAATTTGCAAGAGATCAAACAGGGACAAAAAAAAAAATAAAAAAAATAAACAAAAATGCAGCGCTCCTCTGTAGCCTACCATTTTGATCCAGCGTTTCGAGGCTCAAAGGAGTCCCAGAATAACTCCTTTCGCACCAGTTTTCCCTTCGCCATGAAAATGACCGTTGAATTGTCACATTTCTTCAGTTTTTGCCTTATCCTCAATCTTTTTCCCCCCGTGCTGCTGTAGCATTCAGACAGACAAAAAAATGCAGAGGCTGCTTTTGCAGAAGGAATTGGTGATTGGAGCTCGGGGATCATATGGGCTTTTTGTCAGACGTTTTTAAAGGGACACGGCACTGTTTTACGTGGAGTTGCGAGACAGGCGCATTTCTTTGTACTGGACTCGCTTTTTTTGAAATGATTATTTTTTTTCTCATTTTATTTTGGCGTGCGCAGGAGGACTGGGGAAGGACATTGAGCCATATGGCGCAAACCTCGGTGCGCTTCCTCTCACTGTGCGCTCCTGCGGCCGCGTGACGTCATGCGGACAGACAGATGCGGAGGGGCAGAGAGTTCATTCATTTCCCCGTGTTGCAGGACTCATTGTAACTTCATTTGCACGATATATGGCCAGTGTAACTCCCGCGTGTCAACCCTGCACAACTTGGTTATGTCCCACATCTCCAAACGGGACGAATGGATTTGGTTGCAGTCTAAAAAGAGAGCAAAATGTCCAATGAGAGTTTAAATCTTAATGGGTAACCCGCTCTGGCACTAGAATGAGATGTGGGCCCCTATTGACCCCTGGTTAATCCATTTTGTCATTATTATTAATTTTTTGGTCATTTGATTCAATTTTTAGGAATATGCATCATAAAAGCATTTCATAAACCAAAATAATAAAGGTGTTAAAACTAGACATCAACAGCAGGCCGCTCCACTTTAGGTAATAATTCAGGTGTCACCTTAAGGCCCCTATAATTTCAGTTCATATTGGTTTTAGTGGTGCATACAGTAGTACAAAACAGATTCATCGCCACTAGGGTAACAATTATTTTCATTATTGATTCATCTGCCAAGGTTTGACCTATAAAACATCAGAAAACAGTGAGAAATAGTTATCGCATTCTCCAAGGTTAAATACCCCCTCCAGACGTCTATTAAGACACACAAACAAACAGACTGTTTGGAACAATAATGTGTGTCTGATATGTTTTTTCTGCAGAAAAAGAGCATAATTTCCACATTCAAATCCTTATAGTATTCTACCTCATTAAAAATACCAGAATCTATGAATATATTAATTTCTAAAGTTTTCCTGTTGGACACAAGATGTCTCCCATACTTCACTTTAAAGTCTATTCTCAGTGTCTGTGCACTGGTGGCTTCAAGTTTCTACACTACACTTGTATAAGTTGCATACTTTGACCAGGGTTGACTTCCAAAGTATTTGTGACGTCACAGATCGTGCTCACTGAAAATTTGATTTTAAAAATCTAATTTTCAGAGAGCAGAGAGGAAGTTTCCACTTTCAGCAGAAGAATGAAAACATCCTTCTCATGTCAGACTCTGCACATACATCATTCTGCACAGTGAAGTTCAAACATCCAACTGCAGGAACAAGAAAAAAACCTTCTTTTTGAACTCTTCTCATGTCTTATTTTGTCTGACCAACAGATAGAAACTCAAAGATATTAAGGTCACTATAATATAAAACAGAGAAAAGCAGTCTGACATTGGAGAAGATGAAACCAGCAAACGCTTTGCTTGAAAAATGACACAAACACTTAATAAATTATTAAAACAGTTTCGTTTTGGCCCTAATTGCCACACAAAACGTGGATCCTCCGTCTCTCTTGAGGGTCTGGGGCCTCCGGGGCAGTTGGTAATGCATGTTGGTTAATTCAGCCTTGTCTTGAAACCCCCTGAAGGGTCCCCAGACCTCACTGCCATTGCTCACTCCGGAGCAGACTATGGAGCAGAAGTCAATACGCTCATAACAAGGTGGGGGAAACAATTGATCACAAGCTGGAGCAGGTCCCATTCATCACTACATGTTCCGGGACTCAGCCGAGCTCACAGCGTCAGTGTGGTTGCAGTCACTCAGTCAAAAACCCAGACTGACACACACATTCAGCACCGAGAGGTTTTAATTTAAGCTACAGCATGTGGAAGTGTAAACAGTGTAACCATGGAGTTTGGATTGGCCTAACAGCGAGAAAAAAAGTGTTCAATATTTCATATCGTGCGCTGTTAAGTATTTCAGACAAGGAGAAATTGAAGAGGAGAAATTCAGTGAAAAGTGAACCATCTATTTCTCCAAAACGCGACAGCAGGCAAATGATTTTTCCTCATGAAACCTCAGGCATTGAACTCCACGTTCTGAGAGGAGCCTGAAAAAAATAAAAACCCATCCCGAGCCACGTGAAACACCTGCATCTTAACAAAGAGGGTACTATAGGTCATATTTTTTAAGGGAAACATTATTCCACTCCTGAGGCACACGAAGTAACATGATGACATCATCTGGTGAATCAAGTGTTTGCCTGTAAGGTCGACTTAAAGAAGGAGGAAGTAAATACTTTAGGACGGTGGTTTTCAACCTTTTGGCTCAAAACATATGTCAGTGGTTAGAGTGAACATGAGTTGTCATTCGTTTTCTGCAATCCTGTGTGGCCTCAACTCCTTTATTCTTTAAATTAAACTAGGAAGTAAAAAGTGATCGTGTTAAATTGTATTATTATGCCTAAAAACATTTTTAAAAAATTTAAAAATGCTTTATCAAACATCAAAAAACATCAGAACCAAATGAAATCATTTTATCCTTGTGTGCAGCACAAAAAACTTTATACTTGTTGCTGATTTTCCACTCTAGCACGGTGGTTAAGAAGGATTATTGTACTTCCAGATTTGATTTGTACTAAGCCATCCATACAAAACAGGCCTGAACAGCAGACGTATTCACTGCCTGCACTGGCAGATAAAAACTGGACAGGAACTGTAGCATTTCAATAAGATCTATATCTCACAGACAATTCCTGGTTTCTAGCACACAGCTCACAAAAGCTTCCACAAGAGACATACACTCACACAGCAGCACAACTTTTAAATGTATGCAAATATTAGCAAGTAAGGAACCACATTTTCAATTAGTTCTGAGAGTGATTAATAATTTAATGGAGCCATCTCTTACGCTACTCCAATGAAGTGAAATGATAGTCTTGCGTTAATCTGATTCTTCTAATTACATGACATCTCATACAGTGGATTCTATAAAAAGAAAACTGCATTGATTGACATAAACATAATACATACACTTAAATCGGCCTGTACTGTGTAGCACACTGCACTGATCTCACACGTACACACACACACACACTGAAACTGAAAGCTAGATGGCGCCACAGTAGAGATACAAATTCCTTTGACATTGGACATCCCTGCACATTATCGACTGTACACTGAGAGGAAAGACTGAAGAACAGAGATGATAAGATGATGTGGTATTTATTAAGTGTAAACATTCATAACTGATTGAATCAAATCAGAAATACTATACTTTGAGTACAGTTTTAACATTCGTGATACAGTAATAAAACTAATGGAACAAAGAAAAATGACACTTTTGAAACTGCAGCAAAAAGTTATTTTTTCCATTAAAGAATCTTGTCCATGACCTCAAAATATACTCAACTCCTCACACCATCAGAACTACTGAGACACTTTCAGTATGTCTAACTGTACATTTCAGTGTATAAAAAACAGATGTAGAAAAGGAATACACAAATATATAATAATACAAAATATATACAACTTATTTCTCATGAATTATCACATAGACATTTTCTTTTATTAACTGCTAGAGTGGCCATGTTGGCAAGATTTAGCCCAGTTGTCTTCAGCTGAGACAGTCTAAAAGAAGATCTGCCTGTGTGTGAGCTTGCAATGTGGTTTATTTATTTACATACAATAACAATTCCGCAAACACCATGTCAGCTTATGTAGGAGGGACAAACAGTACGGTATTAAACTATTAACACAATGTTTCCTCTTTGAGCTTTAGTTTCTAATCTGAGATGATAACAGCGATTGCTATTGTGTGTTGCACAGTGTCCAGACTTTGTGGTTTTGTTCCCTCCCAGCAGACTCGAGAGCTCAACTGTAGCGACTGCTGCGACTGTGACTTCTGCGCCTGGAAGAACTGCGGCTGGAGGAGCGGTACGACCTCCGGGAGAGACAGAGAATACAGTCAAATATTTGACTTTTCAGGAATTAATTAGATACAGGCTGAATGATTAGTACGTCTTTGTGTGAAACCGCACAATCTAACGTTCAGCCACAGAGAGGAAAAAGAGAGAAGGTTAAGAGGTTGAAGTGAGACCTGCCACCGTGTTGATGTCTGTCAGGGTTCACCAGGGAGCAGTGTCTTACCGGGATCGTCGGTCTGAGCTCCTGTAGCTGTCACTTCGTCTGCGCCCCCGTCTCCTGCTCACGCTCCGACTCCAGCTGGAATAGCTGTCGTAAGAGTCTGACCTGCATTTACATACAGCCGGATGACAACAGAGACATTATTTTAGGAATTTCTCCAGAATAGTGTTTGATTCACAGATTTTTGTAGTAATTGCTTATTAAACAAGGAAAAAGATATCTAAATGTTCATTTTATCTGAATAATCTGTCTGTGTGCATAGTGAAAATGATTGATTGGTTATTCCTGCATCCTGCAATTTCAGATAAAATAATTAATGACTACTGCTAATAACGATTATTATAATTACTGATTAATCTGCTGACTATTTTCTAGATAGACAGATTCATCTTTTGGTCTATAAATGGTCAGAAAATGGTGAACAATGCCATTAACTGCACCATTTTCAGAAGCTCAAGGTGACGTCTGTTAAGAGCTTAGTTTGTCCGACAAACTGGAAAAAATAAATACACATAACACACATAACAAAGAAAAAAATTACAAAAGTAGTTTCCTTCTTGATTTTAAGGGGTGTAAGACAACTTGAAACAAAGAATGCAGTAGGCCTTTATCTCAGCAGTTAATTTATCTGAAGAAAACTAAATTAATCTTTTATTTTTTTAGATTATTACTTAAGATAAGGGCATGGAGAAAACCTGAACACAAGCTATATTCAAAGAGCTTTCACTCTTTGTCCTGCATTGGCTGCACCCAGAAGAAAACGTAACTTTGAATTTGTCAAGAAAAAGAAGCCTTTTAAGTATTTATTTTTAAGATTATAAAAAATAAATAAATATGCAATACAGACAGAGAATTATATACAAAGTAAAACGTGATAATAATAATAATTATAATAATAATATCCAATATTCACAGGAAATAATCTGCTCAAAATTCATCCAAATTGCTCGTTTTACACAAAC